ACTAAGACTCTTGGTCTTGGAAGACTGTACAAAATCTGAGTGGAGAATGGATCCATATGAAAGTACCCTATGGGGATAACTGAGGACAAGGTTGCAAGGGTTAAATGACTTGTTCTTGTAGGGAAACTAGGAACTTTTTGGCGGTGAGAAGTGAAGTTTGCGAAACTAGAAACCTTGTTCTATGGTAGAAACTACCTGCAGTGTGTCCTTGCATGTTGATAATGTATGGGAGGAGAGTGACAGGACCTATCCACATGGAGAGAGCACCGGTGACCTCAGTGATTCAGTGTTAACGTTCCTGAGTATTTCTCTCTCTCTCTCTCTCTCTCTCTCTCTCCCTCCCTCCCTCCCTCTCTCTCTCACTCATCCACTCACTCTCCTATGCACAGTTGTATTTCTTTGTTCGTCTCAACCTGCCCATCAAGCTGGCTTCACTCTACGCAGGCTCAATGCAAGCACAGGTAAGCCAGCACACTACACCACCATCAGCACAATCACCAACACTCTCACACTCGCACACTAGCACACTAGCACATTAGCATACTACACACAATACACTGTACTTACTATACTCTATACAACATCACTAGCATATCTCTCTCCAACACCCTGACATTGTCTGACTGTCGCCTAGTATACTGGTGTACAGTGAAACCTGTCTAAGACGACCGCTCAAGCGACATTTAAAATGTGGTCTCTGTAACCAGGGGTCTCCTTATCCAGGGTCATTTGACTGGAAATAACATCCCGTGGTCCTGGCTGCAGTGGTCTTCTGGTTGCAGTGGTCCTCTGGGACAGGTGGCCGCTTTATCCGAGTGGTCGCCTTGACCGGTTTTACTGTATTGTTGTGCGATTCTTATTCCGGAAGTCGTGATCTGGAGCGAGGGAAGCATGGACGCAGCTAGTGGGATTTTCCCCTCTTTGACCACTGTGATGGTGGTGGTGGTGGTGGTGGTGGCGGGTGTGATCTGCTCACCTCCTGTGGTGTACCCTTGTACATCGTACATATTTGCACTCTCATGTTTCTTATTATGCTGCTGCATCTCCTTGCATGGACGTGCGTACAACCTTACAGCATACTACTCATACTATGCATGCATGTGTGTACTCCGTGCCCATAATCGACAGTGCATGTCTCTTGTTGCTGGTCAGTCTTTCCTTGGTAGTTTCCTGACGAGTCGTCCTATCTCAGTCCTTCGTTGCATTATTCTATTTCAATAATTATAACTAATCATCACATAGACTTGATGATACCACACCTCCCACTGCTTTATGAGAAACAATGACAGCGGCGGCGGTGGCGGCGTCAAACAACACACTACGGTCACTACTGTACTATTGACCATACCAGCCTTTGCCACAGGTACCCCGGGAATCAATAAAAAATGCACTGATTTGGGCTCTAAATTCGAAACGTTTCATAGGAGCCACCCCAACGCCAGCAGTAAATTGTAGTTCAGATGGCTGACCGTACCACACTAAAATACCTTCCCACGACTCTGCTTTAGGAGCTACATCTATGCATTGATCCTTGAGGGTGGTGGCATTCTTAGCAATGTGAACTGGTCAGTTTTGACCAATTCTCACCTGATTCGTGAATGTTTTAGTTGTTGATGCTTAAAGGGGAAGTTAAGGCAAAAATTAAAATTTCACCAGTTATAGTCTTCCGGGTGCTGAGTCGAATGGTCGTGGTCCGAGGAAGCTGAGACGCTCCCTTCCTACTTGAATCCCAATCGAACTCGCGCACTTCCACCGAAACTGGGTGACTGCGCCCTACTAGATGGGGATTTGTATGCAAAATGTCACTAAAAGCGCCATTTCATTCTTATAAAAGCATGGATGACCGCGATTGGCCCATATGTTGTACTCTTTTGGACACTGAGTCGATTGGTTTTGGTCCGAAAAGGCTGCGATGCAGCGTTCCTCCTTTATTCCCAATCGAACATGGTTGAACAAGCGGTCACGTGCTCCTGCGTACGCCAGTCACCTGGTCACCGTGCCTGCAGGGTACAACTTACTAGCCTGTTTGACCTTTTTTGGGTGCAGTCCTGTCACTCGAGTTGAACTCGAGTTGAACCTTGGTGTGAAATTTGTCGCCTGCTGGCTTGGTGACCAGGTGATTTGGGCACCCAGGAGCACGTGACCGCTTGTTCAAGCATGTTCGATTGGGAATAAAGGAGGAACGCTGCATCGCAGCCTTTTCGGACCAAAACCAGTCGACTCAGCGTCCAAAAGACTACAACATATGGGCCAATCGCGGTCATCCGTGCTTTTATAAGAACGAAATGGCGCTTTTAGTGACATTTTGCATACAAATCCCCATCTAGTAGGGCGCAGTCACCCAGTTTCGGTGGAAGTGCGCGAGTTTGATTGGGATTCAAGTAGGAAGGGAGCGGCTCAGCTTCCTCGGACCACGACCATTCGACTCAGCACCCCGAAGACTACAACTGGTGAAATTTTATTTTTTGCCTTAACTTCCCCTTTTTAAAACTTCTTTTATTCTTATCATAGCCTGTGGCCAATAATTGATGTTGTTGTTTGAAATCTGTATTCAGTGGCTGATAAGAGATGTGTTGTTGTTGTTGTTGTTGTTGCTGCTGCTGCTGCTGCTGCTGCTGCTGCTGCTGCTGCTGTCGTTGTTGTTGTTGGTAGTCATGCAACGTTCGACCAGGTTCCGTCTCCGTCCATCTGGTCTGGCACATTCCCATCGAATCCGACGTGTCACTGCCCTTCTATCAGCGATGGCTTAGCCGAGGTGAGAACTTGTGGTGCATACACGCACACGCACACAGTACGCTCATCGCCAACCCATTGGGCATTTCTGGTACTGGCTGTGTTGCTGGTGAGGGTAGGGTGACCCTGGCCTTGATTAGCAATATGCACCTGCAATGCCAGCCTGCAATACCAGCCTGCAACGGCATGCAAATGACAGTGCCGACTAGTGTGTGTGTGTGTGTGTGTGTGTGTGTGTGTGTGTGTGTGTGTGTGCGCGCATGTGAAGGGATGTGTCACTCTGTCCACACACCCTCTCAACCAGGTTCACACACCCTCTCAACCAGGTACACACACCCTCTCAACCAGGTCTACACACCCTCTCAACCAGATACACACACCCTCTCAACCAGGTACACACACCCTCTCAACCAGGTACACACACCCTCTCAACCAGATACACACACCCTCTCAACCAGGTACACACACCCTCTCAACCAGCTCCACACACCCTCTCAACCAGGTACACACACCCTCTCAACCAGGTACACACACCCTCTCAACCAGCTCCACACACCCTCTCAACCAGCTCCACACACCCTCTCAACCAGGTCCGCATGCCTTCTCAACCAGGTCCATATGCCCTCTCAACCAGGTCCACACACCCTCTCAACCAGGTCCGCATGCCCTCTCAACCAGGTCCGCATGCCCTCTCAACCAGGTCCGCATGCCCTCTCAACCAGGTCCACACATCCTTTCAACCAGGTCCATATGTCCTCTCAACCAGGTCCACACACCCTCCTGCCCATGTGACTGACATTGCTGACCTCATATCGGGGTAGGCTCTGGTACACCAGCACGACAACATCTCAACTAAGACACCAGGCTGACATCAATTAGGTGGGCCGGTTCATTGTAGTAAATATTCTCTCTCTCTCTCTCTCTCTCTCTCTCTCTCTCTCTCTCTCTCTCTCTCTCTCTCTCTCTCTCTCTCTCTCTCTCTCTTTCTCTCTCTTTCTCTCTCTTTCTCTCTCGTTCTCAATATCCCTTGCAGGAATGCAGCAAAATGTGATCCAAAGTCTGGAACGAGATGAGCTCTCCAGGTAAGCTTGCTGGAACTGGGAAGTCGCTTGGGTAGGCTTCAGCTGTGGCGCTCTTTGGAGGCAACCCGAGTGGTGGTGTGCACTTGTGTAATTGTAGATATTTGACACGCAGCAAGCATTGTTTCTCTCGTGTATTCTCTACCTCTATATATCCCCTTTGTCTCTATTTATCTCCCTCTGTCTCTATTTATCACACACACACACACACGCACGCACACACACACACACACACACACACACACACACACACACACACACACACCTGGTCCTGGTCCTGGTATACACTGCCATGTAGGTCATGTGTTTCTCGTTGAGCGAGACGGAGACGAGAGGAGACATGAGCGTTGGTGACGGGATAAGTCGTTTCGCCTTTTGAAACGCCTCTGGCAATTCTGACATTGCAATTGGAACTTGTCCCTTTCATCAGCAGTTGGGCGCCTGGTGGATCGGTTGCAGTTGTGGATAGCAAAGCCCCGGATCGACTTACAGTAGCGTTCACAAATGGGACAGTGAGCGGTACAGCACGGTTTCCGAATACATAGGCGTACAGGTGAAGAGCTTGTGGCATTGGCAACATTCGGGGCAGAATTGGACTGGACACAGCGATGGACTGCAATGCCACCCGCACTCCGAAACCATCGGTGACACTGGGAGCACTGGCGGCTGTTGGCTTGCTGCTGGACTGGTTTACGCCGTTCCATGATGCACTTGTGGCGGGCGATATCTTGCTGCCGAGCAAATGCACGCCGGCACACCTCGCAGACATCTCCCGAGCCGGTTTCTGAGCTGGTTGTATTGCTCGATAAGCTTGCCGCCACTCAGATCGTTCCTGTGCTGTGTCAAACCATGACTCGTCGGCGATGTTTATTCGTCGCAGGTCAACCCTAATTGCGTCTCGCCATCGTTTCCGCGGGCCACACGCTGGGCGTGGTGGCAGCAATGTGCCAAACAACAACATCCGCGGCATCCGCTCCTCAGGCATGCGTACCACGTGCCCAAGCCATTCCAGTCTTCTCTGCATGAGGCGGTCGGGGATATCCAGTGGGGTTGCTGCATTCCATGTTTTCAGAATGGTGCACACACACACACACACACACACACACACACACACACTAACTAACTAACTAACTAACTCTCTCTCCCTCTCTCTCTCTCTCTCTCTCTCTCTCTCCTCCCTCTCTCTCTCTGCGGTTGGTCAGTCAATTACAGTCCCTGGCAGCTCGGTTACAGTGTGGAGACTACAACGCGCCAATGGCTGCTATGCTCAAGGAGAGGCTGACAGCGCGACGTGGCTCATCATCCACCGGTACCGGCACTGCTGGTAAATCTGACCCCACTGTCTTTCGGTGAGTGCCGTACATCAGCTCTATACAGTCAACCCTGGTGTAAGCGAACTCTGTGTTTGGCGACCACCTGCTCTTAACGACCGTTTTTCCATGCACCGACAGTTCTACACAGACACTGTGGGACCTGGTTATAAAAACCACCTGGCTTTAACGACCGCTTTTGCTTGCACCGTGGGGTGGTCGCTTAAACCAGGTTTTAATGTATACCTGAGCGTTGTAAGTTCTAGTGTTGAAACGAATAATCGAATAATCGAATAATTTAGAATATTCGTGGGGTGAACGAATAATCGAATAGTCGTAGGAATTATCAGAAATCGAAAAAAAGGTCTATGCGCTAGTGCTGACCCTGCTGATATTTGCACGGCGTAGATCTGCTCGTATTTCTTCTCAATCTCCTCTCCTCCAAGTTTTAATCTCCTACCGGTATCTAGTATTAATACTTCTGTTCTTTCCATACGAGGGAAACATGGATGCAGTGAATGAGATTTTCGGTCTTTGACCACTTTCGACCAAGACCCTATGTAGAGCTGGATCAGGCGTTGCACACTCTGGGGGGTTATGTACTCTTGGCGGTATAGGTTAACCGGTTTTGCACCTCCACATAACAAAATCCGATATTAATCAGCAAAAAATTTAAAAAAACTACTTAAAAAGTGCTGAAAAAGTGTTGAAAAATGCCATCATGCTTATGATAGAATATAGATTATTCGTTCGATGGAGGGCGAAATTATTCGATAGATTATTCGTTTGAAGAATCCGTGTTCGGTTTAAACACTAGTTGTAACGCTCTGAACTTTCGCCTTTTGACCTGATGTGGAAATTCAAATCAGATCTTTGAGCTTTTTGTAGGGAGCCAAATCTTAGAGTTGGTTGTAGAAAGCCAAGTCATGGAGCTGATCTGAAGCCGTCCTCTCGGTGAACCACATCAGTAAACCATGCCTGTCTGTTTCTCATTGTCCCTCCGTGGTTCGTCTTGTTTGATTTGTTTCTTACATAACCGTTTTGTTCCATCACAGGTCCGTGTACTGGGAGTTGCTCTGTTTTCTGGCAGTTGTACGCGGCACCAGCTTAGATCTAGGTGAGACTGTGTTCTGTATTACATGTGTATGTCTGTCCCGTTGTCTGCCTCTCTGTCCATGTGTCTGTCTGTCCATGAGCCTGTCTGTCCGTGTGTCTGTCTGTCCATGTGCCTGTCTGTCCGTGTGCCGGTCTGTCCATGTGTCTGTCTGTTTGTCTGTTCATCGGTTCATCTGTATGTCCGTCTGCCTGCCTGTATCTTCGTCAGTCTGTCCGTGTGTCTCAGTCAGTCCGTCTATCTGTCTGTCTGCATATCTGTTTATAAGAGGAAAGTGACTGAACCATTGAGCAGAGAGACAGAACTGATAACAGTGAATTAGCGTTTCGACCATGCTGGTCTTCAGAGAGAAGTGTTCTTTCCATTTCCGTGTCTCTCTAGAGAGTAGTCCACTCACTCCCTCGTCTGTGTGTTACTTTCTTGACAGCATCAAGCACCATGACCATGTTGTCATCTTCATGATCACCAACTACCTATTGTCTGTCTCTCTCTCTCTTTGCCTTGTCTTTTCGCCTCTTTGGCTGTCTGGGTGTCTCTCTTTGGGCTTGCTAAACTCAAGAGCTTCTCTGTTTTGTCTTAAGTTGACTTTTGAATGCACCATACGATTGTCTGTGGTTGCATGTTGTGCATGTTGTGCGTGTGTGCATATGTATGCGTGTGTGCGTGTGTGTGTGTGTGTGTGTGTGTGTGTGTGTGTGTGTGCGTATGTGTACGTGTGCTTGCGCGTGTGTGTACGTGAACAGGCAAGTTTGATCGTGAATACTCCCGTGCTGTCGGTCGTCTGTCCAAAGACATGTCCGTTGAACTGCGTCAGGATGATCATGGACCCGATGCGCACGCTCTGGCGTTTCGTTCTCGATTCGGTGCCATCAGTATGTAGGTTGATGCTCTCGATGTTGGCCGATCTGGTGTACGTCCCAGCTCTGGCAATCTGGTGTACGTCCTAGCTCTGGCGTGCGTGCTAGTGATGACGCTGGTTCTTCAGCCACGCAGTGTGTGTGCGTGTGTGTGTGTGTGTGTGTGTGTGTGTGTGTTAGTCATGACATGGAATTGTCATCAAGATAGCCGTGCTAATGACAGCAGCACTCCAACACACGTGAGCAGTCTGTCCTGCACATCACGCCGTCTTCTCCGTAGCGGTGATGCACGCTCTCTCTCTCTCCACGCCACGGTGATCATGAAGACGTTGCTCGATGGAGAGAGTGTGCACGTCGCGTCATGTTTCTCGTATCTGTAACCGGGACTGTGCAACGTCACCTTAGTGTTCTGACTGCCTCCGTGCACACTGCATGCACAGTGCATGCGCAGTGCTGGCTGGCGTTGTGGCTTGATCAGTGTTGTTGTTGTTGTGTTTACTGTCAGCTTGTCTATGATGTGTAAGGAAAGTGCCAATGTCTGATTACCCTCCATCGCTTGAGTGCACATACATGTATCCCACCACACGGGGTCTGCTTGTGTTCGTATGATATCGCTTGAGCGTACATACTATATCACACTGCGCCTGATTGGGTGGTATATCACTTGAGCGTGCATCCTATGTCACACTGGGTCTGATTGTGATCACCCCGGTGTGTCGCATTCTCACCCCGTCGTGTGAACATGTTGATGCTACTAGTACTAGTACTAGTAGATGCCACACTGTCAGTTCCACTCTGACCATGGTAGACGCCCTTAAGGACTGGAATACAGACGCAGTCCGCTGCCAACAATATACTAGCTCTTAGCAAGTTGTTTCTTCAGTGTTTAGCCCGTAGCCTGTTGTCACCTTTTGCCTGTGTGTGCCCACATGCCTATGATAATCAAGTATCTCTCTAATGATATCGTCCACAGTACCCCATTATAGAGAGACGTAGCCCCCCCCCCCCCCCCCCTCACCCTGCTCTTCACTTTGAAACACTGCAGTTGTTTAAATTTAGCCTTATTTGGTCGTCGATTCTATTTATGGAGTATAACCGACCAACCAACATCCCCGTCGTTTTACGCGGATTAATTTTTTTAGTGGTTGTTGATAGGCGTGGTAATGCATGGTCATGGTTGACTTGTGCGTCTGTCTGTCTCTCTTGCTGTTAGCTACAATGTGCTCTTTCTCTTGCTCCGGTGCTGCCCAGCCTTCTCTGCGGTCAGTTTTTACGCAGTGTGGACACAAAGAAGGGCTTTTCTTCACTTTTCTGCTACTTTGTCTGGCCTAATGCTGGCAGCCGTTCGGACGGTACTGACCTTGCAATGGCTTCGGCCTACCTGCTTTCGCACCCGTACAAACATGCACACACACACACACACACACACACACACACACACACACACACACACACACACACACACACAAGCACACACACAAGCACACGCACATGTTTTCTACCACTGCTCAACTTTCTCATCTTCTGTGTTTTCTCTTGTTTTTCTCTGCTTTTCTCTGTTTTTGGAAGATGCTGGATTTTATTTATTGCACGCGCACACAGCTGCTTTTAGACACGCATTTTAAACTTGCTCACTCTGTCCGTGTTGTGATCCGCTGGCCGGTTCATGATAGTCCTGCTGTCTAAGTTCACTTTCTGTCCACGTCCGACATTGTATAGGAGCAATCCTGCTGTTTTAACGTTGAGAGTTATCTGGTGTGTGTGCGTGCGTGCGTGTGTGTGTGCGTGTGTGGGCATGTGTGTGTGTGTGTGTGTGTGTGTGTGTGTGTGTGTGTGTGTGTGTGTGTGTGTGTGTGTGCGTGTGCGTGTGTGGTCATTCATAGCTGTGTGGTGTAGACCAGGCTGAATAGTGGCGGTCAATTCTTCAGCCTTACAAGTTGTTGAATGGTGCAATCCCAGCACAAACTGCTATGGCTTCTGCTGTTAGTGTTGTTCATAGCTTGTGGTCAGGGTGTGGTACAACACTGACCTTGTACCTCCCCCAACCCCCCCCCCCCCCCCCCCCCCAACCCCTAGCCAACCAACACATACATGTACACATGAAAATGTACAATTGCTCCACCAAAGGGTGTATCTGGGTGCGAAAATATGCTTGCTAGTTAGTTGAAGTTACTACACATTCTTTTTCCTTCCATTTTTTATAAAGGATTATCATGGTACTTGTAGTATAAGTTTGATTCTAGCTACTTCAGAAGTATCTCATGGCTGGTTCTCCCTACACCGATTCCCCACCACCCTCCCTTTGCTCTGTTTGACTTATACACTCGGCAGGTGCAGTGGACACAGTTACGAAACACTGTAACCATGACACCCACCCACCAGTGTGTCGACATTTCCAGGCTCTCGCACCCAGACACAGAACAGCACAACCATGACACGTAGCCGCGTGTCGATGTGACCAGACTCTTGCACCCAGACACACTCATCTACAAACACAAGCATTGACAACACTGTTGATGCCGAGTAGAGTAAAGTAAGTATTATTATCGTGTCCGTTCCGGAAGGGAACTCACGACGGCCGCTAACACCCGGTAAACCCTAGCGGCAGATGCAGCGCCTAACGATAGGGGTGAGTGGATAAGTCTTACAACCACTGGCAGAAGTGCCGAGAAACCCCATTAGCAGCACGGCTGGAAAAACCGCTCCCAGGGAGGACTTGAACCAGGTACCTCTCATGCCGAGTATGAAACTACATGTACTGTATCAAGATGTTCAAGCGCTTGGCAAGATCAAGGTTGCGTGGCAACAGCCACAAATAATTGGCTGAATCTATAAACTATTATACTGTATGTTAAAGCAGAACATTTAGTCGGCTAAAAATTCCGTCCAACTCCAAAGAAAGGGAGTTCGTCCGGTTGAAAATTCCGTGCATGGACCATGAGACGTATTGAAAACGTTAGTCCAAAAAGACGAAATTAAATTTTGGGCAAAACGTTCCTACTTATACAGGTGATAGTGTCGGCAAGGGAGCAATCAACTGAAAGGCACGTATAGGGAGGGCCTGGCCAAACTTGGGGCCCAAAAATTAAAATTTGGAAAAAGAAAATAATAAAAGTTGGACTACGTCTAAAAATCATTCCCCAATGCTACAAATTAAATTAAATTCCAACATCTCCAAGCAAGTAAAGTAAATTATCGTGATGCTGCATTGTTGTTGTTGTTGTTGTGTTTATTTTAATTCGCAAACCAAACGGGCAGATCTGCCCAATGAAAAGGTGGCGAATGCAGATAGAAAGCAGTAATAAAATGAAATTGGGGACTGATGTAATTAGGATACAGGTGGAGAAAAACTAAGCCAGCTGATCATCAAACAGGACTTGTCTCAAGACAACAGCCGGGCCATTCAGTTCAAGTGGAATACATGCATACTCAACGAATCACCAGACCTCACCTCTTCCAACATCTGTGCTAACAGCGACAGCTCAGATTCGCCATGGTTTCCAACGGCCGTTCTACAGTTCAACATCGCCATGGGTCATCGCCACGGCTCATCTCCACGGGTCATTGTCATGGGCCATGGCTGTAGGACATATCCATGGGCCATTCGTGCGAGACATTGTCAGTAGCCATGGGTCATCACCACGGGGTCGCCGTAGGTCGTCGCCGTAGGTCAACACTGCAGGTTATCTCCATGGGTTATCTCTACGGGACATCGGTGTGCTAGGCTGTAGGCAGTCAACGTAACACGATCAGGGAGTCGCTGCATTCCGACTATAGTAGTAACGCTATAGTATATTAGTCAGCGGACACCCTGGCGGTCATAGCTGCCAAAGAGCAAGGTCTGGCATTGGCTGCATGGCTGGATCATGTCACACGGCGTAGGTGATTGGCTGCACTGATCATGTGACGTGGTGTACAGCATCAACTGCACTGATCAGGTCACATGGCAGACAGGATTGGCATCAAGGATCATAATTATGTCACGGCGTATGCGATACGCAGTTTTAATTTTTTTTTCTTTCATTCAAGGCTCTCGCTGAAATACGTGTTTGGACAGAGGCAACGCAAGTAACACGTCTTCCTGGATAGGGCCTGCACTCTCGCATAGCCCTGCACTCTCGCATAGCCCTGCACTCTCAGTCTCGCGTAGGCGAGGATAGTAGGGGATAATTGAAGTGACGTCTTGGCAGAACAGCGTAAGTGACGTCTTGGCAGAACAGCGTAAGTGACGTCTTGGCAGAACAGCGTAAGTGACGTCTTGGCAGAACAGCCTAGCACACCTCACAGTTACACCAGTGACTACCGTGCTTGATACAGGGAACAAGACAGCAATGATTCGTATCTGCAGCGGTGTGATGACGTAATGTGCAGCCGTGTGATGACGTAATGCGCAGCCGTGTGATGACGTAATGTGCAGCGGTGTAGCTGCTGTTGAGCATGCAGCAGCTACACCGATGCATACACAGGTCCGTGCAACAAGCACATACGGCACACGTTATGTTGACGATGTCATGGCAATGATGTCATGGAGATGATGGAATTCCGATGATGTCATGGCGAGGATGGGGTGCGGTTGATGTGTGCCGTGATGAGCTCCAGTACGGGACCGAACTCCTCCACAGTCTGCAAGTACGCCATCACCTTGCAGAATCCCAGCCAGTGCGTTGAGAACAGGGAGTGGAGTAGGCTGTCGTTTCGCGTCGTGGCATCTTGAATGGCCTGCACGCTGATCCTCTGTGAGGGAGTGAGCATTCGGTGCTGGAAGCAGAATGTCGTGATGTCCACCGCGCCCATGGCCGTCGAGAATCGCACGTACACTGGCTGCACAAACTCCTTCCATGGGTCGAGGCCACTTGATCGGAATTCAGCAACACGCTCGTGGCTCAGGAATGTGGGCACGGTGTTCTCGTCGATGTGCAGCACCTCATCGGATTTCACTGCCGCTGCTGTCGCCACGGGCACTGCCACTGTCATCATCTCACTTCGGGGAGTGGCTGCTGTGGTGTTACCGGCCACCGTGTGCCGCAATGGTTCCAGGACTCCTGCACCACCAGCAGCAGCCGCAGTGTCGGCGGCGGCTGTGTCGGCAGTAGTGCTGGCGTGGCCCTCGGTGCACTGCGCAGGATAGGATAACTGACCCGCGCTGTTACTGCTGCCACATCGCTCCGCCACCGGCAAGGTCGGGAAGTCTTCAGCAACGGCATTGCGCAACACACGCAGCACCACTTCCCCGCTTTCCAGATCGCCATGCTGAGTCTGCAGTAGCAAAGGAAACCAATGACGACAATGAACAATTTAAAAGACAACAACAACAACAACAACAACAACAACAACAACAACAACAACAACAACAACAACAGCAGCAGCAGCAGCAGCAGCAGCAACTGCAGCATCAGCATCATCATCATCATCAGCAGCAGCAGCATCAGCAGCAGCAGCAGAACCAGAGGTATCGGCAACAAGCAAAGAACAACAATCTCCATACAGGTATACTGTTTGCTGCCACTACACGGTGAAGACATCTCTGCCACTACACGGTGAAGACATCTCTGCCACTACACGGTGAAGACATCTCTGCCACTACACGGTGAAGACATCTCTGCCACTACACGGTGAAGACATCTCTGCCACTACACGGTGAAGACATCTCTGCCACTACACGGTGAAGACATCTCTGCCACTACACGGTGAAGACATCTCTGCCACTACACGGTGAAGACATCTCTGCCACTACACGGTGAAGACATCTCTGCCACTACACGGTGAAGACATCTCTGCCACTACACGGTGAAGACATCTCTGCCACTACACGGTGAAGACATCTCTGCCACTACACGGTGAAGACATCTCTGCCACTACACGGTGAAGACATCTCTGCCACTACACGGTGAAGACATCTCTGCCACTACACGGTGAAGACATCTCTGCCACTACACGGTGAAGACATCTCTGCCACTACACGGTGAAGACATCTCTGCCACTACACGGTGAAGACATCTCTGCCACTACACGGTGAAGACATCTCTGCCACTACACGGTGAAGACATCTCTGCCACTACACGGTGAAGACATCTCTGCCACTACACGGTGAAGACATCTCTGCCACTACACGGTGAAGACATCTCTGCCACTACACGGTGAAGACATCTCTGCCACTACACGGTGAAGACATCTCTGCCACTACACGGTGAAGACATCTCTGCCACTACACGGTGAAGACATCTCTGCCACTACACGGTGAAGACATCTCTGCCACTACACGGTGAAGACATCTCTGAAGACATCTCTGAAGACATCTCTGAAAACATCTCTGAAGACATCTCTGAAAATATCTCTGAAGACATCTCTGAAGACATCTCTGAAGACATCTCTGAAGACATCTCTGAAGACATCTCTGAAGACATCTCTGAAGACATCTCTGAAAACATCTCTGAAGACATCTCTGAAGACGTCTCTGAAGACATCTCTGAAGACATCTCTGGCGCATCGGCTAATTGTCAGCCAGAGGCACGCCAGCACATACTGGTCGCGGCAGCAGGATTCCTTTTTCGATGTAAGGGTCACTGACCTCCCCTGCTTCCCCCCCCCTCCCTTCCACACATACACACACACACACACACACACACACACACACACACACACGCGCGCGCGCAACACAATACACAGAATTGATGATTAGAATGATGATATGCCAAAATAATAACGTGCAACTAGACTTGGGAGGGCATTGCAGAGTAGTTGCATACAAAGTTCAAAAGTGGTAAGGATACCTGTGACTTGTGCTCCTGCAGAGTTCAAGGCCTACCGTGTAAACATTGGACCGTACTGGCAATATATGTTGCCGCGTAACGCGTAACGCAGGGGGTGCGGCGTAACGCGCGACCAGGCTAGTGCGACAAATTTTCGTTGCGTTCGTAACGCGCGTCCGGCGGGGTGCGGCGATCTTTTCATTGCAAAAAAGGCTGAAACCTGTGAAAGCACGTGTACCGCGTGGTGAAAAGTTCAAAACTGGACGCAGCAGGAAGTCCTGCAATAGCAAAAAAAAGGACTGCGGCAATATAGAAACCTGTGTAACGGCTCCTTTGCGACTTTGCATGTAACGCCCTGCGTGCGGTAAACATGTGCCAATGTAACGCTTCATGGCCTCACTGCGACCATATATATTACCAGTACGGTACTATGGTTTGTATGCAACTGGTAACTGGTGTGCAATGCCCTTCCAAGTCTAGCCGCACGTTAATTGGCATATCATCCATTGCGGGCAAGTTCAACTCACTGGTGTAGGCCCGTGATGCTGCTCCTCGCTCAGTGCCATTTCCCGGGCCAGGTCTTCATTGTGTTCGGCAAGGACATCCACAAACACAAGCAGCTTGGCCTTGGTCTTCGCCATCAGCTTCAGCAACAGATGGTCTCGAGCGGCATACGTGCTCTATGCAAAATCCACAATAATCATCAACACATACGCACAGACACACACACATACACACACACACACACACACACACACACACACACACACACACACACACACACACACACACAAGCACGTGCGCGGACACATGCACAAATAGGACTCAATGATGAGATTCAAAAGGAAGTGATCAAGAAATACGTCGCGTTCAAAACTCGAAAATTCTGTGCACCCTGAAAAGAGTGATGTGAAAATTATTTTTTGTCCTGGTTAAGGTGGCTTTTTTTGCTTTTTTATAGCCCCACATTCCCATAACGCATTATTCTCTCAATATTATGTATTACAGTTAGATGGGACTTTGCTCTGGGCATGGAAATTCTGTCGTTATTCGCGAATTGCCGTTATACCCGCAGTCGTAATTAGCGAAGTTGACTGTATACCGCACATTGTTTCCATCCGTTAAAAACATGCACTTACTAATCAATGTAAAACGTTCAATGCTTATGACAAGGCATGTCCTAATTATTGGCTGGTGGTGCTTCTTGCGGACATGCATGCGTAGACAATGCATTTTTTTGTAACATGTACTTACGATGTTGCTTTTCTTCGTATAGATCTCGTCCATATCTTCAGGGGTAAGAACACCCTTGGACAATAGCGCAGACACTACGGCATTCAGACTTAGCTGCTGGCGCAAACGCTCGTGGTGGCGCGCAATAAAGCTAGGCATGGCTGGTGTTCCTGGTGGTGCTGCTGCTTGTGCTGCTGCTGCTGCTGCTGCTTGTGGCGTGGCTGGCATTGCTGTGAGTGCGATTTGTACTGACACTGCCGCTGCTGCTGACTCGAATTGGCCTGGCTGGCTTTCGGCAGTGGATACGGCGTTCTTAGCGCAGCCAAGACCATCGCCTTGCAATGCGCTCTCACGCACGGGCTCACATGTGGTAGCGGGCGAGCGAGACTCAGCGTACACTGCCGCAGCTTCACTCCGCAGTACTACCTCCAGCTACAGGGCACACATGGATGTAATTATAAATATCCGTTATAACCTAAGATAGGATAATGGAGCGCACGCAGCGCAGAAGAATTCAAGTCCAGCTAGCACTTGATTACGGCATGCATGCACCGCATCCGTGATTGGATAATAATTCATGAAAATATCAAAAAGAAAAAAAGTACAAAAAATGTTGTCTGGACCCGATATGGCCATACTCATGATACTCCACTGAGTGCGTTCGATTACACACTTGAATCGATTCAAGTGCATTCAAGTCGTTCGATTTTCATGTCATGAGCCCTGGAATCGATTCCGAATCCATTCACTCACATGGGGTGATGTGCGAATCGATTCATGAATCGATTCGTGAATCGATTCGTGAATCGATTCGTGAATCGATTCGTGAATCGATTCGCGTGCATAATCGAACGCACTCACTAAAGCGGGATTCACAGAAGCTTTTTTGCGATGCGACAAGCGATGCGACAGGCGCGAAACCGGGAAAACCCCAAATCGCAGCCATGTCGCACCCCGCGCAACTGCCGCAACTGGGCCATCGCTGGCCATCGCAGAAGTTGAGCTTGGCTCAACTTTTGCGATGCGATGCGATGCGACAAGCGATTTGGCGTACGATTTTGACCTTTTCTACAGCAAAGTTGTACAAAGGTGCAAGAGTTGCCTATAAATTTGTACAGGTTGTACCAAACCGCGCAAATATCATGGTGACGTACTCAAATCAGCAAGACTTTGCAAAAATTTGTCGCATCGCTGACTTCTTCTGTGAATGGTATTTCGCGAGTTCGCATCGCACGCGTCCGTCGCAGATCGCGTCGCATCGCGTGTCGCATCGCAAAAAAGCTTCTGTGAATCCCGCTTAAGGCGGTGTTTACATGAGGCGTTTCAACCCGGGTTGAGTTCGACCCGGGTCAGATTTCAACCCGCCATGTGCATAAAATGAATTGCGCGTTTACATGACGCATTGCGCTTGACCCGGGTTGAAATTTAGGGTCAAGAAAATCGTACAAACGTACTTCTGTGCGTATCTCGCGCCAGGTTTGAACGGCACTGCAGATGCAAATTTCGCGCGAACCGATTCACGTGACCATACAGGACTGTAGAAGTGGACTTTTGGCGGCATATCAGTATTTGACCCGGGTCAACTGACTTCATGTAAACGCTCACCTCTTTTGTCTATCGTACAGACTTTCAACCCGGGCTGAACTCGACCCGGGTTGAAATTTCTCATGTAAACACAGCTTATAAATCCAGACAGACCACAGTAACCTACTACAGTCTGTACTACTACTATACTGTACTACATTGTAGTACAGTATACTAGTAGTAGTAGTAGTAGTACAGTCTGTATCGGATAGCGTACCCTTTTGATTTCCGTGATTTTATCACTATAACCGATGCATCACTATAATTATGCGATACGATCGATTTTTTTCGATCGACACATGAAAGGCAAGGAAATACTTCCAGCATGGCGTTTTGACAAATGAGCATGCTGCATAGTTGACAGTGCCCGCATTTCCATAAAAAAATTCTTTTATGTACATGCACATGTGTCACTATCAAAATAAGCAACGTGAAGAAAATAAAAAAATAGGGACATTATTGCTACATCACTATAGCCGATAATAATAGTGTGTTATGCATGTTTTGATTCTTTGTTCATTGCATTCCCAACTCATCACAGCCACGCGCTCTTCAGCCGAACCATACAGACACCAGCAAGGACACTTCCGTTGAGAGATAATATTGCTCCACGCCTCTAGACAGCTGTTTCGCTCCCTGTCGGAGCTCATCAGTAGAGGATAATAATGATGATAATGGAGGAATGATCATTCATATTATGTGGAAAGCGTGCATTTGCGCCATTTCTGGTGTATAAGAATGATCATTCCTCCATTATCATCATTATTATCCTCTACTGATGAGCTCCGACAGGGAGCGAAACAGCTGTCTAGAGGCGTGGAGCAATATTATCTCTCAACGG